TTGCTTTTGTCGTTAACATGTAATACTTTTTGTAATGGAACTCTGATGAATAGAAGAATGTGGAGTTTTTATATATAAATGCATGTCTATATTGATGGGTTTAATGTTATTTTTTTGAGGGCGTTACATTTGGTGTGGGTGTGCATATCTCAATAGTTTAAAAGAAGAGATATTATGCAATAAATCTTCATCAATCTTGTTCCAGAGAGGAAGGAAGATGTTGTTAGGATGACAAATAATGAGTTGTTTGAGCAACTTTATAAAGTCCAGCAGAGTAAAAAATGCTTAGTTGTACTGGATGATATTTGGTCAATAGAGGCTTGGAAGAGCTTGGAACCGGCCTTTCCAAATGGAAACACAGGTAGCAAAATATTGCTAACGACTCGTAATAAAATATTGCCTTCACAGATAGATCCATACCCTATCGTCCATGAACCCCAGTGTTTAAATGACAAGGAAAGTTGGTATCTACTTCAAAAAAAATCATTACTAAGAAGAGATGGTAAAGGTAATATTAATCAGTCCACCTTGCTATATATTTTGATACGAATTAAATTATTTCAATGTTAGTTTTCATATCATCTGTGTGGTCTATTATCATCCAAAAAGATTAATGACCCATGGGTTGAAATTTGGGAAAGATATGGAAAATACTCTAGCTCTACTGGCCATAGGGTCGAACCAAATGTATTTAGAATATTCATTTACGAAAACTACGTAAATTGAAAACTTAGGGATTACTTTACAGTGAGACAGAAAATAAAATTTTACACAAACATGCTTGCATCTCCATAATTTTACACAAATATTAGATACTTCCAGAGTACTATATTGTCTACATGATCTAGTATCGGCCAATGAGAGACCGCAACACACTAAATAGTCATCATTTGTCTCCTAACTACCCCACAAAGATGACTTAACATGTTTCATTCATAAAATTTTTTGCTATGCAATTAATTTGGAACACCATATAGACAATGACACATAATACTCTAAGACTAGTCACTAATTATTCATTAAAATTTGAATGACTTGTGTCATGCACGACGACTTTGTAATACTAGCTCAGAGAATGGAATCTGAAGGAAGGTTACAGGTACATACATCACTCTTCCTACTTTTTTGTATGCCTTTTTATAAAAAGTTAAAAATCAACTAAAATAGCAAATTTCCATAAGGGGCCACAATTCATTTCTTGCCCTTAACATCACTCTCTCTGCACAAAATGCATGCATGAATTTGAGAAATCCTTTTTCTTCTTCTTTGTTGATATAGAACTTTTGATTGAAAAGATGCATGTATCAATGTAAACAGTGTTGACTTTGAGGCAAAGTTGAGGAAACGGTTGTTTTGGAATTCAAAAATTGGTTGAAAAAAAGGGTTCTAAAAAACTATCCCTTAAATAGAAACAAAAAAAGCTTGTTGATGTAGTAAATTATTTAAAACTAATGGATGATGCAAGTATCAGTGTAAACAGTGCTAACTTTGAGGCAAAGTTAAGGAAACGGCTGTTTTGGAATTCAAAAATTGGTTGAAAAAAAGGGTTCTAAAAAACTATCCCTTAAATAGAAACAAAAAAGCTTGTTGATGTAGTAAATTATTTAAAACTAATGGATGATTAATTTCTAAATATATAGTTTGTGTATAAAATGTTATATACTATCCCTGTTACAGTTGTTTCTGGGGAATCAACTTATTAAAACTGAAATTGATTAAATCTTACCTTTAGTCAACTTTGTCACAAAAATGATTCGATAGATTTGATTGTTAAATTGAATTATGCAAGTTTGATTAGTAATTTCACAACTAATAATTTGAGTTTTATACTTGAGAACACGAAAGTTCAAAATTTTTAAAATAAAATTTAAATTACTAACCGATTTGATTTTGCAAAAAAAAAAAAACTTTAAAAATCAATTAACATTACAAGCTTGCTTTAGAATTATCTATCTATATATGTATAAAAGGCCCATATTAAAAACTTGATTTGGGTATCAAAAAAGTCGGCAAATTTCCCTTTTTTATTGCTTATTCACGCAAGCATTCATTAGAATTTTTATTTTTGTTGTTTTATAGAATCTAGGGAATAATCTATTTTTTTTGTTGTTTTTAAAGTTTGCATTTTGTTGTTGTTGTTGTAGACTCCAGAGTGCTTGACACAAACATGGAGGCATTAGGGAGGAAAATGGTAAAGCTATGTGCTGGTTTACCGTTAGCAATCATTGTGCTTGGTGGACTTTTGGCAAGAAAGCATACATTAAGGGAATGGGAGATGGTATACCAAAATGTTCATTCGCATAAATGGAATGACGACCCAACACAACATGACAATGGAGTATCAACGGTGTTAGCTTTAAGCTACCATGACTTGCCTTATCAATTGAAGCCATGTTTTCTATATTTTGGTCACTTTCCGGAGGATTATGGGATAAATGCTGAAAGACTATATCACTTATGGATAGCTGACGGTATAATTGTAGATGATGATAGAGTGGGGGATGAAACAATAATGGATGTGGCAAAACGTTACTTGGGTGCACTAGCACAGCGGTGCATGGTTGAAGTACATGTAGACATGTATACTCAAAGGATCAATTATTGCCGCATTCATGACCTTATGCTAGATTTGTGTTTATCGAAGGCAAAAATGAATGATTTTCTCGAGATCATTCATCTCCAACGCGAAACTGATCTAGCTGATTGGTTTTCCACCACATCAACAACCACTACTCCTAAAATACGCAAACTTGCAATTCATTTGAGTAGGGATGTCGAAAAAGTTGTCCTCCCTGACTTGGAGACAAATAAACAGCTAAGATCAATATTGTTGTATGATCCAAGAATTCACTTGTGGCCTTTATCTAGTGACGAAAAGTCTTCAATAGAGTTGAACTCCCATGTCGAGTACTTCAAATTGCTTAGGAATTTGGATCTTGAAGGATTTAAGTTTGATGAAAAGTCAGTCGAATCAATAGGTAACCTAATTAGCTTGAGGTACTTGAGTTTTAGAAGTTGTTTCATACCTAAGTGGCATTCGTCTATCTGCAAGTTGAAATACTTGCAAACCTTGGATTTACAACATTGCGAGTTCAACCCAGGTGAAGTAATAGTCTTACATGGAATGGAACAATTGAGGCATTTGTATATTCCTCGCAATGCTAAATTCAAATTTGATGGGTTAAGCAACCTCGAAACATTAGGAGGGTTTGACACAAGATCTTGTGACGTCAATGATCTGTGTAAATTGATCAATCTTCGGCAACTAGAAGATGCAACTTTCTCGGAGGAGGACAATCAGGACTTAGCGGCTTTCATCAACTACCTAAACATCAGTGCCAACCACCTCCGACATACATCCTTATCAGTTGAATTTTACAAAAAAGAAGAAGAGTTGACTCTTCTCAAACAACAACTGTTAGGGTGTCAACATCTTTACAAATTGAGTATTAGTGGAATTATTCCTGAGTTACCAGAGTGCCAGGGTTTCTCTCCCATCCTCATCGAGTTAATTTTGTTTAGATGTCAACTTGAAGAAGACCCTATGCCAACATTAGAGAGGCTACCTAACCTACAATATCTCTATTTAGGTAGTGGTGCCTTTATGGGGGACAAAATGGTTTGCTCAGCTAATGGTTTTCCCCAACTCAAAACCCTATCTCTCTATCAGTTGATGCTCTTAAAAGAGTGGGAGGTGGAAAAAGGAGCGATGCCCAATCTCTCTAATTTAAAAATTGCTTATTGCGAAGGACTTGAAATGGTTCCAGAGGGACTGAGATTCATTGCGACCCTCCAACGATTTACAACAAAGGATATGAGCGAAAATTTCAATAACAAGCTTCGAAGGGTCAATGGTGAAGAAGGAGAAGAGTTTTACAAAGTGCAACATGTGTCTTCCCTCGACATTTGGTAAATTTCTTAATTCTGGATAATCCTTTCTTTCACAAGAGACGAAACAACTATTGGGTCTCTTATCGTTTCTTTCACATCCCCCTCATTAATTCTCATCATAAAATTTGTTGATATATATATCTCTCTCTGCTTTTTTTGCCTTCATATTGGTTTAGGGGTGGACAAATTATCATAGAATCAAAAAAACTAAACTAAACCAAAATTATTGGGTTGATTTGGTTTTTTTTTTTTTTTTTTGAATACATTGGTTTAGTTTTGGGTCTTGAATTTGTCAATTTGATAGGATTGGATTGATTTTTGAATTACCCTTTATCTAAATCGAACAAACTTTATAACCAAATATATATATATATGTATATTATAAGATTCAATTTATATCGGCATGTTTTTGCCTAATGGATTTATTCTAATGGATTTGATTGCAACTAATCATTTCTCTCTATTTATTTTGATTTTTAGTCAATATGAAGAAAGAGAACGGGAAAGGAAAGAAATTTTCTGTCAATATGTAGAAGAAGAATGGGAAGTGAAAGAAGAAGAAGAATGGTAAGTGGAAGAAGAAAATACTGGAAGTTAGAGTTGGAATTCATGGTACTTAATTTTATTTTATTAGTTGTGTTACTAGTTTTGATTTGCATAGGTTGTATTTAGTCTTCGTTTGGCATTGGCTTTTGTAGTTAGTTTTTTTGTGTTGGGACTTTTTTAGCCTCGTTTAGTTTAGCTTTTTTGACTTTTGTAAGAAAAAAAAAGTATAATAATTATGGTTTGGATGTAATATTTTGTCTTGTTGGCTTATGTAGCCAATTTTGTCTTTTTGTGCTTTTTTAGCCAAAAATCTAAAACCAAACAAAGTTTTAAGCTTTCTGATCTGAAAAAAAAAAAGAAAAAGCAAAGCTTTAAGCTTGAGTTAGATTTCACTATACTATTCACAGCAGTTAACTTGTATTAAACAATGTTTATTTTGTGTTTGCGTTATATTTAAGTATTAAAGACTTATTTATTTTAATTATTGATCAATTTTTTTTTTATTTTTTTTGAATTGAATTGATTTGGTTCAAGTGCATGATTCATTTAAATTGGTTCTAAATTTAATGTCAACTCAAACCAAACTGGTCCAATCACACCCCTATATTGGTTCATATCCTTCGAGATTTTTTTAATACATGGTCAGAGCAATAAAAGTTGAGATTTTTCTAATAGACCCCTTATAATAAGATTTTTTTATAAGAACACAAACGAGCCCATAAGTTTTACTGTGAGGAGGACAACACATGCAGAAAACACAACCCAATTACTGAATAACTAATTTTATTTTTTAAACTTTTAAATACTAACTATTAACTTAAATTTTTATTTTTTTAAAGTATTTTTTGGAATATTCTCGTTGAAATCTATTTAGTAGGAGTTCGTATTGAATTTGCAATATTGAAGAAAATGTTATTTATTTTCAAACAATGAAATTTTTATTATTTATAAATTATCTTTTATAAATAGAGAAATTTCAAATTAAAAGCTAAAAATCCAGAATTAAATGCTGCAAAATGAAAAACCATATTTCATTGTTTGTAAATTAGAAAAAAAAGTTCACTGTCTAGTGACATCAAATAGAAAATTTTAAACTAGAGGCAAAATTAACATTAGTTGTTAAAAAGATTGCGATAAAAAGACGTCTCACGCTCACTATCAAGGAGAAACTTTTGTTATGTATAGTGTTCTTTTCTTTTTTATTTTGTTTCCTCCTATGCTCATAATTATTTGTTCTTTATGAACAATAAATATAAGTGATGGACTAAAACATATATATATATATATATACTAGCCATCAGCATGCAACGAGTGTGCAACTCAAAAAAAAATATATATATATATTATAAGAATAATGATAAAAAAAAAAATGCACATGCTTTACTCAAGTGGTAAGAGCATTTATTATTAAATCCATGGTCATGAATTTGAGACTTGTCCTCCTCTTTGCTTAATTTTTATAAAAACTCCAAATATAGGGGTATTTTGAAAAAAAGAATCAAAATATGTGACAAAAAGTGTCAACACCACTAATAGCCTTCCTTTTATATATTAGAATAGATAGATGTTGGAGAGCCCTGAAGAATAGGACTTGATAAAAATCCGATATCCACGTTATTATGTACATACATATATGTGCATATACAGAGTATCATAAAAGAACTGAACGAATTTTTTTAAATATTTTTTAAAATTACCAATCAGTGCACATATAATGCATGTGTCATATGACACTTCTAACAGATAAATCAACATTCAATTGAACTTGGTGAATCAAAATTTCAACGTGTGGCCATTTCGGTTAAGAGGTCCTCGTTTCAAATCATGAAAGGAACATATTTATTTATTTATTTTTTCGAGAATCAAGCAAAACAGCACAATATATTATTCATGAGATAGCAGTTTTACAGATTTTGCCAGCTGGTGTGCTGGCTCGACAAGAGCCCTACCCACCTTAGTTACAGATAAAAACGTAAAAAACTTACTTAAGACTAGCACATCCTGTACAACCAAATCAACCTCCCATTCGAGATTGTTTTTTGTCACAAAACTATCAACCAAAAGCTGGCAATCCGTAAATATGGAGAGGCACTGAATTTGCCTTGACAGCCCATTTTATCGCCTCCAAAAGTGTTCGAGCTTCTGCCAATAGAGGAGAAGGCAAACAGAGAGAGAGCATTTGTTGTGAGACCTGCACTTGAGCTTCATCAAAACAGACCCATGCCAGCCCAGCTACTTTGGTACTTTGATTCCAAGCGCCATCCACCACATAAGTAAAGAGCTGGAAAAGATCATGTGAGGTTGCGTTGTTAGTAATAACATAACAATTATTGGAAGAAGGAATCTGCACCCTTACTTTAGGACATGTAAATATATCATGAGTATCTTTTACCCAGCCATGGGTCCATTGCCATCTAAATTCAGACACTAAATTTAAAGTGTGATCTATTGACAATTGCTTGTGTTCAAACACTTTAAGATTACGCTGCCGCCAGATTGCCGCCATAACAGCAATGGAATGGATTATAATATCTTCCTCCTGAACAGTCCTATTCCAATCTGCCCACCAAGTTCGAAAATCCACAGGATTTCCACAAGTAAAAGCTAACCCCAAAACTGTACCCCTCCAAACTCTTTGGGACCAAGGGCATTCAAAGAAAACATGCTCAATGGTCTCATTTGCTTGCACACACCTAGCACAAATGGGATCAACCTGCAAACCTCTGCGTTTAAGCTGCCACTGGACCGGAAGGATATTATGGAGACACTTCCAAATGAATAAAATCCACCTTAAAGGTATTTTTGTTTTCCACAATTTTTTCCAGATCGAAGGATCGATCACATTATTCCCATTCACCCTGTCAAATTTTCGCCTAATGGCAGCCCAGTAGCCTGATTTAACCGAGTAGATACCATTCCTACTTAGTCTCCACACCAACTTATCAGGGCAAGAGATTAAAGGAATATGAATACCTAAGATGGATTGAACCACATTTTCAGGAAATAACCATCGAAGGAGATTTCTGCACCAACAAAGATTTGAAGAATCTATCAAATGATTCACTCGCATTGAAGTTAGATATTGGTTTAACCCAAATTCTTCTACTGGGTTGTCCTGCCCTGGAATCCACAAATCCACAAAAGGGGTTATTGATTGCCCATTGCCAACTCTCCATAGCAAACCAGTCTTCAACAACTCCCCACCCCAAAGAAGACTTTTCCACCCCCATGAAGCTGTCGTAGTCTGTCGAACATGAAATAGATCCTCAGCAGAACAACATTTACCTAAAAGCACTTTAGCAAACAACGATGTCGGATTAGAGATTAACCACCATGCTTGTTTTGCTAATAAGGCTTGATTGAAACAGCCCAAATCTCGAAAGCCAAGGCCACCCTCCAGCTTAGCAACACACAAACTATCCCATTTTTTCCAGCACAGCCCGTAATTTTTATCTGATTTCCATAAGAAACGACGTATTATGGCTGTTAATTTACAAGTGACAGCGCATGGCACTATAAAGACAGACATAAGGTATAACGGGATGGCTTGTAAAACGTGTTTGACCATAATACACCGACCCGCAAAGTTTAACAGCCCACATTTCCACCCTTGCAACTTCCTAGCAACTTTATCGACCAAGGCCCTAAATAACAACGTTTTTGACTTACCCGACCAATCCATGGACGCCCCCAAACTCCCGGATGAAGAACCACTTTAAAATGGAAAATAGACTCCAACAGAAGTCGTTCTCTAGAACAAAAATTAGGACTGAGGTATAGCTTGGACTTATTAATATTAATCCGTAAGCCCGTTTGTTGGCAGAAAACATTCAACAACCATTGCAAGCACCATACCTCCTCACTCTTAAAATGCATAAATAAAATGCAATCATCTGCAAACAACAGATGAGAAATTGGAGGTGAATGGCGACTTATAGCAATACCCTTGCAAATACCCTGGTGAGCAAAGTGAGCCAAGCCCTCAGATAAGGCTTGCATGACAATGATAAACAAATAGGGCGACAGAGGATCCCCTTGCCGCAAACCAGCTTTGGGATTAAAATAACCTGATGGTTGGCCATTAAGTAACACTGAAAAAGATACGGTTGACACACATTGATGTATCAACTGGATCCATTTCTCCGTAAACCCCATATGACGAAGTATAGCAATTAAAAAATTCCAATCTACCCGGTCATAAGCCTTATTCATATCTAATTTAAGCCCAAATTTTTTTTTTTTTCCCTTCATATGATGTCTAATAAACTCAATCAACCCATGTGCGAGCAAAAGATTGTCATAAATGAGCCGCCCTCTGAGAAAGGCATTTTGACTATCATCAATTAAGTCAGGCAGCACCTCTCGCAACCTATTCGCCAAGACTTTAGACCCAATTTTATACAGCACATTACAGAGACTAATTGGGCGAAAGTCATCAACAGTCATCGGCTCCTTGTTTTTCGGAATCAAACAAATAAAAGTTTTATTGAGTTCCTTAAGTAAAAAACCAGAATTTAGGAATGCGAACACCGCCTCAACCACCGACGGACCCACAACATGCCAAAATTGCTAATAAAACCCCGCAATAAACCCATCAGGCCCCGGTGCCTTCAATTTCCCAATTTGGAAGACTGCCCTCTTAATTTCATCCGTAGTAAAAGTTTGATTTAATAAAGTAATATGGGCCTCACTTAAGTGACAATTAAAAACAGAAATTAAATCAAAATGATTTGGAAAGGCACCTGAGTAGAAATGTTGCGAGCTCCTATGCTGGGTGTGCTCCTCACACTTAAACAAAGATTTGAAATGGTTAATAAAGGCTTGATGAATCTCCTTCTGATCTGTAAGAAGTGAGCCATCCTCCATTTTCAACACAGTGATTTGATTCTTCTTCTTTCTCCAAGAGGCCATTTGATGAAAGAATCTTGTGTTCCGCTCTCCATGTCGTAGCCATCGCTGTTTTGAACATTGGGCCCAGTAGATTTCTTGCTTACTAAGTAAATCCTCCAACTGCCATTGAAAACACTGCTCCAGTAAAGAATCATCCATCGTCACAATATGCTGCCGATGGTGTTATAATAGCTGCCGTGTCTCATTAATCTGTCCTTGCAAACTTCGGTACGACAAACGGCTCCAATTTCGGAGGTGATTAAATACAATATTCTGTTTCCGACAAACCGCAAATTGGCTAGAACCCGAAGTTAACACATGCCATGCACGGGGAACAATATGCTTCAAAGTGTCATCCATTAACCAGATAGCCTCAAAACATTTTATGCGCCTTTTTGGTTGAACCACCATGTCCGTATCAAAAACCAATGGGCTATGATCCGAGCGTTGAATTGGCAGAACCATAAGTGACGCATTAGGAAATTTTTCAAACCAATCTGAAGACACCAACACTCGGTCCAGCCGTTCATAAATAATATTCGAATCAGAGCAATTGTTGCACCATGTATACCACACCCCTTGGTTTGGAAGATCAATTAATCTGTTTTCAAAAATAAGATCATTAAAAGAACTCTCACCTCGAATTGTTGTGAACTTTGGGCTCCATTTGTCCTCCACACTTCGCACTTGATTAAAATCCCCAATTAGTGCTACCGGTCGTGCACATCCTTGTATCTTCTGCCCCAGCTCCTGCCAAAATTTCATCCTTTCTGATAACGCCGGATGCCCATACACGAGAAATAAATACCAATCACCCATTACCACATCAAAAATATGTAACAACAAATACCGATCAGCGGCGCCAACACTAGTAATATGTTGACAATCATCCCATGCAGCCCACAAACCACCCCGACTGCCATTACAATCCACACCAACACAATTGCGGTATCCCAGAGACATTCGAAAGAACTCCAACTATTTAGACATTTGCTTGGTTTCATTGAAAAAAATTAAATTTGGCCACCATCGATGGGTCAATTGTTTAGCCGCTCGAACTATTAGGGAATGACCCAGACCCCTACAGTTCCAGCTGAAAATCCTCATGGCCTCTGAGGAGGTTGTTGTGGGACAACCTCCTGAAAAACCCCTTCTATATCTTGCGATGGTGATGAGAGTAAGAGCTCCTTCATACGCGCCGCCTCCGTTTCAATAAAAACACCATCCGTAGTCGTCCATGAGGGATGATTAACAGACTCCCCTATGGTATCCGAAGAACTTGGTTCAGAATCATAACCCGACTCTGATCCTCCTACCAACCTCTGTTGCAAACCCATTGTGGCCTGGAATCGTCGTTTACGCCAACGAGAGGAACCTTCACCCGGATCGACCCCACCAATTTGCCTACTCCTCTGCATGCATTTCTGACGTCGTCTAGAGAGATCCAGCAAACGCTGTGAACGAGCTCCCGTCCGATAAGTCCGAGATGAGGCAAGCTGAAGAGTACCAGCAGCCCCCATCAAATTTGTGCATCCATTGCTCTCCAGCCCAACTATGAGACCACAGTTCGTCAAGCCATGTTGAATCTTCCGTCGTCTTTTTCCCACCGGACTAACAACAACTACTGAATCTGAAATCCCTCCAACACCATGGATATTTATCCCTTCTTCCCCAAAACCACCCTCGACCTCCGCAACCCCTTCCGAAAAATAAGCAACTATGGTATCATGGTTACTATCCATCAATCTTCTTTTGTAAGGAGGCCCATCTACATGTTCCATCGTCCAATGCTCTGTCTAAGGACGGCCCAATATCTCTTCCCCTCTTGAACTTGAGGCATCATTACTAGGCCCAATAGACTTTATCAACCCATCCTCAGGAGACCCAGCTAGAACCAACGTCTGTTGGCCCAAGTATCTCTTGCCATATGGAAAATTCAACCTTCGGCCCAATCCATCATGCTTAAGAGACTGAATAGTAGTATCCCAGTCCATAAACTCATAAAACCGTCGGCCCATAATTTCCATTTTCATCTCTGTAGACCATTGTCTTCCCCGCTGTGAAGCTGTCTTTTCCGCTTGATCGACGTCCATCAGTGGCCGTCTTGCATTTATGCCCATAGCTTGAAGACCATCAGCCTATTTATTCCACATTAACTCAAGCTCAAATACTGAGTTGATCGGCTCATTTGGCAATGGGTCAAGATCCCGAGTCAACTCAACTTGATGATCCACCCCAACCACCTCCTGTAGATGGTCCTCCACTGGTATATGGACTTGACCAGCTAGCATGGCAGCACCTAACCCCTGACTATCACTATCTGAAAACGCTGGATGACTGTCATGATCCCATTCACATTCCCAAGCTTGGACGAAAGCAGTGTGACTTGGGCTATCCAAAGAGAGCTCACCACCAGTAGCTAACATACCCGAATAGGTGTCCAAGTCGTTCGATGATGCAGCCGAGTGGATCGTCTCTCTGGTCGGTGTGCAGTCGCTCGGATTCTTGATGTATACAGTCTCTGATCACCTTGTTGAATCACCCGAGTCCCCAGTTTGAGCTAGATGATTATCAATAAAAGTTTGACCCTCCTGGAAGGACATGGCACATTGCCCATCAGTATGACCAATCTTGCCACATTTTCGGCACATACAACAGATACGTTCATATTGACATTCAATCCATTGATGGCTTCCATCCAGAAATGTTAAGAAAAAACCACTTATCAATGGTGCCTCCAAACAGATCCACACTTTAAGGAGTAGATAGCGTATGTTCCGTGGCCAAACAGTATCCACATCAACCTAAATAACTTCTCCAATGGCCTTGCCTAAACAAAAACCTGCCTCAGCAGTATAGCATTCAAGCAGCAACCCAAACATGCGAACCCAGATCCTAGCACGGGGAATGACGAACTTCTCCAGCACCAAACCAGGTCGCCAACAAAGCCCCCGCAACTGCATAAGGACCATTGGCAACTATAAGCTGCAAATCATGTACATGCTCAAACGAAAAAATGTAGCAGTTCTTACTTCGACCTAAGACATGCATAAACCCCTCTAGATGCCAAAGATCATCTAGATACGATTGCATCAGATAGACATTAAATTCCCTAATATCATGAACATATCCCACTAAACACTGGTGATACATATTTTGGCCCACCCCCTAGATTGTTGCCTCCATTTCCATATTCACCCCACACCGTAAATGATGCTGGGATGGAGGAATATATGTACGAGGAGAAAAAATAGCTCTTCTTTCTTCTGAATATTCACTACCCACCACAGTATCACTACTGTCTGTCCGGTTCCCTTCATGAAACGGACCCCCAATTAAACTCGCCATCCTAAAAAGGAAAATACAAGGCTGAACCTCCTTACCACAAAAGAGCCAACCAGGTAGGCCCTGTCCAAACCTTGCCCAAAACAAAAAGGGATAACAACAACCAAACAGACACAGCACAGAAAGAGACACAAAGCCAGCAAAACAAAACAAAATCAAAACTCCCAAGCAAACGAAAACACCGAACAAACCAACTTCCTCAAAAGGATGAAGAACAACCCAGGCTCTCGAGCGAGAGAAGATGATCTACACTCTTAGAATACTAATTCGAACATATTTATTTTGTTAAGCTGTGTTTGGATCATGAACTTGGATTAGTATTTAGAAAATACATAATGAAAAACTAGATAAAATACAATTACATTTTACTTACTTTCACCCACCTTTTCTATTTCCTTTTTCAATTTTATGATTCAAACACAACTTTAATATTTTAACAAGACTCGATGGAGAAACCTACGGCCAACCTTCCTACTTAGAAACCTTTGGGGGCTAGATATCATCTTTCCAAATCTCAAGGAGGAATATGAAATTAACCTCAAGACTCCGCTAAGTTTGAAAATTATATTAATCTAAACTTGTTGAAAATTTTCTTTAATGGGAATTAACCTTCTAAACTTTTACATATCTCCTCAATCTTCATGAGAAAATTTTCGGTAAAATTTTACAATTTAGTGATACAATCACATATGTGCCCTTTTTTCCAGATAAGAAAGGTAAAGCAGCTCCTGGAGGTAACATAATTGTAAGTTAATCGAAAATTATCCCAGAGTTATGATTTAGTCACACATTGAGACTAAAACGGACAAACTATCAATTCAAACAGGTTCCCAAAATTCATGGTATAATTTCTAAATGATCAATGTATATATGTTGGGCAGCCATTTGCTGGTTCCCAAAATTCATGGTATAATTTCTAAATGATCAATGTATATATGTTGGGCAGCCATTTGCTAGTTACTTGTAACACCCTGTGAGCAAATCAGTATAATCACAATGGAGATAAAACTTTGATCTTTACTTCAAGAACCCCATGTGCTTAATTTGCTTAATGTCAAACCTCAAATTCCTTTGAACACCATCTATTTCTCGAAGTCAGAATCTGATAGTGGCATTTGGTAAGCTTCTTTTGGTTCCATGTCAGTGATGGAAGGAGGACGATCTTGGTTTGACACCGCTCTCTTCTTGTGTCTCTGATTTGGTCTATCTTGATCATCTTGGAAATTTTCATATGGTGATTGAGAAAACATATAGAAAGCAGAGGAAAATAAAAATGCATAAAACAAATACTATTTAACGTACAAAATGCTTATGCAAGTCCCACTACAGTGAATTGGGCAGTCATGTATGCATAGCAAAATTAAGATCACTGATGTATATGTTAATTAGTTGTAATTATGTGTTAAAATAGGAATTAATATCGGAGATTGATGTCAACTGTAAATTGCCTTTACTAAGTATAAATAAGAAGTCGAGAAAAAATTTGAGTAGTTTTTCTTTCATTTCTATGAAATTTATACATTTGAGAGGTTCTATCTCAGTTGGGTGTGAGTTTCTTCCTCAATGGAAGTGAGTTTCTTACAGGTTTCTTCCTTGGGAGTAGAGAATTGCATTTCTGAGTAAGAAACGTCAACCAAGAATGAATTTTTTTGCTACTAAGAGTGAAAAACCCAATAACTTAAGCTAAAAATGCTGATTTTACCTTTGATGAGGGCAAGCTTCCGTCTCTACAATGAAAGTTTTTGACGAAAATATTTACATCATATTTAATTTTTAATATTTTTTACTATTTTAATATAAAATTCAAAATTCTAATGCCTCAACTCAATGCCTTGAGGGTTATGCCTCTCCTCGCAAGGGAAAAAATGCCTCACGCTACACATTTGCTTTAAAAACTTTGGTAATTAGTAGTAAGAGGTGCCAAAAGGAGGAATGTTGGCAGTAGTTTCCAAAATTATTCAGGTTTTGAGGTTGGGAACTATATAACACATAACATCAGCAGCCTCCAGGTAGTTCAACACAAAGTGAAACACAATTTCATTTTCCAAAGGAGCCATTGAATCAATGTGTCCTTGAAAAATGGTGGGGGATAACTGTTAAAGAAAATTATTCGAGAATATCAATGAAGGAACACAATCATACAGGAATGATTGGTGGTAAGGGAAACAAGTTCAACTAGCAAGCAATAGATTCCCAACAAAGGAACAATCATACAAGAATGAATTTGTGGTGAGGGAGACAGAAAAATCCTTCTTTAGGGTTTTTGTTTTGTTTTGCTTTTTTTTTTCTTTTTTAGTGTCTGTGAGTTTGGCGTGGGGTGTTGCTTTTTCAATGAGAATGACAAGTCTAGAAATTGCAAAGCTGGAAAATGTGAATTGTTCAACGAGATGATTCAGAGATATGCTCAAAGCTATCACTTGGTACAATAATCTGTTAGGGGCAGAAATAAAATGACAATGAATAGGCAATAACATGGCTGTCAAGAAAATAAATATAAAAAAAAAAAACAAAAAAAAAAGAAAACAAAAACAAAAAAGGCTGCTACCTACAAGGTATATGTGACTGCATTTGAACTAAATGAAGGGAAACTTTGAAGAATATGTTGGGAATGGGATTCATCCCACATCCACCAATGTGAATGGAAGCACACAATGCAAACACCAAAGCGAAAAACAATTAGACACAAATTTTTGTAGTTCGGCACCAATTGCCATCATCAATGGAAGAGAGATTCCACTATGAATAAAAAATAGATAATACATGTGAGATGGTCAACACACTCAAAACCCATATCACTACTAGAACCCCATGGTCAAGAGTAGTTGAGCCCTTGATCACTCTAGTGCCTTCACGGTATTTTTTGTCATCCCTTACATCTCTATTTTATCCTCTTAATCTCGCCAAAACATATAGTCTCCATGACTATTTATAATAGTCTATCCACAAAAAAACTAGTTCCATAAAATTAAGTAACCAAAACCTACGCATTGGGTTCCCCAATGGATTCGGACTCTACTATCCTAACCCAAATACATGTTTAAACTAACCTAACAAATGTATGGGACCCACATATGTCACATGGGTGGACTTATCCAAACAGAATATCAATAGAAGTTACTAAATTAATCAAGTAAAATATTATGCAGCCAAGACATCACATATATAAAAAATAATTAGAAGGAAAATAATGACACTGAAAAGTAGAAAAGGGAAATAAAAGAAAGGACTAATCATGAGTCAGAAGAATATCAATGAAATTACATTGGATTGGAGATGAAGATATAAATGATCAATGTATATATGTTGGGCAGCCATTTGCTAGTTACTTGTTACACCTGTGAGCAAATCGGTATAATCACAATGGAGATAAAACTTTGATCTTTACTTTGAGAACCCCATGTGCTTAATTTGCTTAATGTCAAACCTTGATTCATTTGAACACCATCTATTACTCGGAGTCAGAATCTGATAGTGGCATCTGGTAAGCATCGTTTGGTTCTGTGTCAGTGATGGAAGGAGGACGATCTTGGTTTGACACCGCTCTCTTCTTGTGTCTCTGATTTGGTCTATCTTGATCATCTTGGAAATTTTCATATGGTGATTGAGAAAACATATAGAAAGCAGAGGAAAATAAAAATGCGTAAAACAAATACTGTTTAACGTACAAAATGCTTATGCAAGTCCCACTGCAGTGAATTGGGCAGTCATGTATGCATACCAAAATTAAGATCACTGATGTTTATGTTTATTAGTTGTAATTATGTGTTAAAATAGGAATTAATATCGGAGATTGATGTCAACTGTAAATTGCCTTTACTAAGTATAAATAAGAAGTCGAGAAAAAATTTGAGTAGTTTTTCTTTCATTTCTATGAAATTTATACATTTGAGAGGTTCTATCTCAGTTGGGTGTGAGTTTCTTCCTCAATGGAAGCGAGTTTCTTACAGGTTTCTTCCTTGGGAGTGGAGAACCGCATTTCTGAGTAAGAAACGTCAACCAAGAATGAATTTTTTTGCTACTAAGAGTGAAAAACCCAATAACTTAAGCTAAAAATGCTGATTTTACCTTTGATGAGGGCAAGCTTCCGTCTCTACAATGAAAGTTTTTGACGAAAATATTTACATCATATTTAATTTTTAATATTTTTTACTATTTTAATATAAAATTCAAAATTCTAATGCCTCAACTCAATGCCTTGAGGGTTATGCCTCTCCTCGCAAGGGAAAAAATGCCTCACGCTACACATTTGCTTTAAAAACTTTGGTAATTAGTAGTAAGAGGTGCCAAAAGGAGGAATGTTGGCAGTAGTTTCCAAAATTATTCAGGTTTTGAGGTTGGGAACTATATAACACATAACATCAGCAGCCTCCAGGTAGTTCAACACAAAGTGAAACACAATTTCATTTTCCAAAGAAGCCATTGAATCAATGTGTCCTTGAAAAATGGTGGGGGATAACTGTTAAAGAAAATTATTAGAGAATATCAATGAAGGGAACACAATCATACAGGAATGATTGGTGGTAAGGGAAACAAGTTCAACTAGCAAGCAATAGATTCCCAACAAAGGAACAATCATACAAGAATGAATTTGTGGTGAGGGAGACAGAAAAATCCTTCTTTAGGGTTTTTGTTTTGTTTTGTTTTGTTTTTGTTTTCTTTTTTAGTGTCTGTGAGTTTGGGGTGGGGTGTTGCTTTTTCAATGAGAATGACAAGTCTAGAAATTGCAAAGCTGGAAAATGCGAATTGTTCAATGAGATGATTCAGAGATATGCTCAAAGCTATCACTTGGTACAATAATCTGTTAGGGGCAGAAATAAAATGACAATGAATAGGCAATAACATGGCTGTCAAGAAAATAAATATAAAAAAAAAAACAAAAACAAAAACAAAAAAGGCTGCTACCTACAAGGTATATGTGACTGCATTTGAACTAAATGAAGGGAAACTTTGAAGAATATGTTGGGAAGGGGATTCATACCACATCCACCAATGTGAATGGAAGCACACAATGCAAACACCAAAGAGAAAAACAATTAGACACAGATTTTTGTAGTTCGGCACCAATTGCCATCATCAATGGAAGAGAGATTCCACTATGAATAAAAAATAGATAATACATGTGAGATGGTCAACACACTCAAAACCCATATCACTACTAGAACCCCATGGTCAAGAGTAGTTGAGCCCTTGATCACTCTAGTGCCTTCACGGTATTTTTTGTCATCCCTTACATCTCTATTTTATCCTCTTAATCTCGCCAAAACATATAGTCTCCATGACTATTTATAATAGTCTATCCACAAAAAAACTAGTTCCATAAAATTAAGTAACCAAAACCTACGCATTGGGTTCCCCAATGGATTCCGGACTCTACTATCCTAACCCAAATACATGTTTAAACTAACCTAACAAATGTATGGGACCCACATGTCACATGGGTGGACTTATCCTAACAGAATATCAATAGAAGTTACTAAATTAATCAAGTAAAATATTATGCAGCCAAGACATCACATATATAAAAAATAATTAGAAGGAAAATAATGATGCTGAAAAGTAGAAAAGGGAAACAAAAGAAAGGACTAATCATGAGTCAGAAGAATATCAATGAAATCACATTGGGTTGAAGATGAAGATAATGGCTGGGAAAAAAAAAAACAATAACAATGCTCCTAGGAGCACAATATGCCATGACTTACTTTTTTGCTCAGTTGAGTTTGATTATTTGACTGACTTGGGTGAGTTGATTGGCTCCTTCGCAGCCAGATGCTGCCAAAAGACATGAATGCTTCCAAGAGGAAGACTGGGCCAATCCTTGGATCTCCCACGCGATTGTGGATTCCATTCATGATGCTACCAATTCTCTGTTTCATTCCTGTCCCTTTGGACAGAATGGTTTGGCACCTACTTACCAAATAGGATCTGCATCTTCAGGAACAAGTGCAGGAGTTCTTTTTCTCTGCGATGAGATAAACAGAAAAGGTTTGAGCAGACATCTTGTATGTAAGAGATGCAACTCTAAGCTCCAGAGTGTATACTTCCTTAAAAAAACTACAAAGTTCAATGAGTATCAATCTAAGAAGCACGGACACTTCTAAGAACGTAACGTGCCGTCTCCGACACTAACCGGACACCTAAGTAGCACAGGCGAGGGTACTGGTATGCTGATATGGAAAAACCTTTAAAAAAAAAAATAAAAATAAAAAAAAAAAAGAGAAAGGATAAGGGTACAGTTGGAGTACGTTAACAAATTTTTTATTTTTCATAATTTATAGTTTGAGATTCAACCTACAAATCAAAGTTTAATACCAAAACTAAAAGGCGGAATTACAAAACCAAAAGAGAAATCACAATTCAACAATACCAATACCAATACCAAAACAAAGTCTATAAGCTATTTTAATGCCATTAAATATGAGAAATTACAAAACAAAGGTTCATTCCAAAAGCAAACTAAGTAAAATTTGGAAACTTGAAACATCAATTTACACTTTCATCAACCTCATCATTGAATACTATATCTTTCATCTCTGACACGTCAAGTAAAAGATTTGCAATTTCAAGTAAATCATAACTCTCTAATAAATTAAATGTATCACCACCAATGTCCCATATTTGGGTGTACCCCCGATGTACCCATCATGTACCTACGAAGCCAATAAGTATTTCAAGTACCCCGATACGCATGCAACCCTAATAGTATGCGTACCAGTACCCTGTAAGTACCTGGTATGAGTATGGCAATATTTTCAGAGTACCCTTGCTTTATAGCCGGACACTTTCCAACAACACTAATGAAACATACCACGAGTTTGAATAAATAACTTGGAATATAATGATACAACAAAAATTAAGTAAATTTATACCTGTTCTCCTCCTTTATACTTTAAAAATGGATATATTTTACTTAAATATTCATATATATGACATAATAATTATTTATCATTATATATGACATAGGGTTGATAAATAAATAAATTATATATTTTGCAAAAGTCCTGAACGTGTCGTGTCTTACATTTTTTAAAAATTTACATGTCGGTGCATCAATGTCGTGTCAACGTATCAATAATGGAGTGAAGGTAATTAAACCCCTCAGCAAAATAAACTAATTCATCCATTCAAGCACTAAAAGGAAGCTTAATTCTAAAAAAAGCTTGTCTATGTTAACTTACAAAAAAGGGGAGCTCCCTAGAGTCACCATCTTCGATTATTTGAGAGATCCACTTGATGATTTTGCCAACCAAATAAAATAGAAACAACTCAACGTGAAAAGGTGCACTAAACCACAAAGAATGTTGCATTTGCATTAACTGCTCAATACAGAGTGAAACATATCTCAATAATTAAAACATGTAGTAAAATCCATCTCACAACAGATCGAAGGCCAAACCTCTAACTTTCTTCAGAACCATTGTACCTCACAAGAAGTTGTGATGCAGGATCCACATCGTCATTCAGAAATGCCTCCAACATGTTTTTTGGCTTTTTTCCCCTCAATTTCAATACTATCTTCGGTAGCATTCCTTTTGTAACGTACAATAATTAACTGTGGCACATCTGTTATATCCCTCCTAGGTCCACATGTTTCATAGTTGTTCTCCATTTGAGTGTGGAAAAACAATATCGTTGGAGAAGAGAAATTTAGTGACTAATACAGTTGCAAAAGATCATTTGTTTAATGTTCCAGCATAGAATAGTCCATCATGATCATTATTAATTAAAATATTATAATCCATAATTAGTAAGCACACATACTTCTACATAAAAAATAAAAAATAAAAAACCTACAAATGGTTCTAGAAATAATAGCGGAGAGATAGAAAGATCATTCCTTCAACTACATAAAGCAGAAGCAAACAACCTCTAATCATATGTACAATTGCTGCTGCAATGACATCTTACACAATTACTATTGGAGTTTATGAATAATTTTCACCTTTGCAATATAATACTACATGCATCACATACGCTACATGGCGAACTTGGTTTAATTTTTATTATATAACACCTTCTGTTTCCTACACTAAATGGCATTATTTGTATAGCTGGAGAGGAATCACATTATTTGTACATATGGCTTGATCACAACAATTCATTCTATGTACTTTCTATACTTTTGTTTTTCATTCTTTGAGATGAATCCTGTACATATAGCTCAATCCACATAACAGAATCAACCAACAAGAGTACAAAATTTTTGTGAAAGATAACCTCCAAAGTTTTTTAAATGACCAAGAATCATAATGAAAAACTTTCACCGTCTTTGGTTTAGTTTATAAATTGCTTTTGAGATTTTTTGTTTTTCAAATTTTTTTTTTTTTTTGGGAGGGGGGGGTTTGTTTTTTTTTTAAACTTTTTAGATGCGTCTAATCTAGATGCACTTAAAAAATAAAATATTTGTAAAAAAATCTGAAATTGTCTTCAATCAACTTTTTTCAAATTTTTTTATAAATATTTTAAATTTTAAGTGCATCTAAAATAGGCAGATCTAAAAAAATAAATAAATAAATAAAAATAAAAAACTAAAATATGAAGAAAAAAATTCACTAAAGACAAAAAATAAAACAAAACAAAAAAACTCAAAAACAATATTGAGTTCCAAAAGTTGGTTTTAACTCAAATAGGAAACCAAGGAATGATGAATACTTTTAATTGGCCATGCCTCACATGGAGAACATAATCTAATACACCAAACAATTGACATGCTTTGCGTTAGACAGGCTGTGGCTAAATATGTATTTACCAAAACTTCTAAATGTGAAAGCGTAAGTTTTTAAAATGACCTAGAATCAACACACAAGCATTTCAAATTTAAAATTTTTATATATAGTGAGAAAAAGTTATTTAAAATTAAATATAAATGTATGTATAAATACTTTTCTCCTCAAGGTGTTGTTGAACATTTCATTACAAAATAGGAAACTTGCCCTCATCGAAGATGAACTTTGACATTCTTAGTTTTAGTTATTGAACTTCTTGCTTGAGTTTGAACTTTATATTTTTTTCTTGGTTTTTTCCCCGGAATATGATTGTTACAAAAGAGGTTCTTATTTTTTATGTTTAAATTTAAACTAGGTATTAGATCATAAAAAAAAAAAACTAGGTATTATAATAAGCTTAATAACAACCCAAGACAAGCTCCCCATATACGTACTGTTACATAGACTCATGTACGAGTATCAGGTGCAGGTGTGTATCCAAGCGTCAGACCTTCATAAATTTGAATCTTGGGATACATATCCAAAATTGGATATGGGTACGGGAACACGTTATATGCATATTATATGATACTCTCGGGTGAGATGTTGTAAATTGTGTAGAAATATAGTAGAAATTAAATCGGATACAAGAAACATATGAAATTTCTATATCTAATTTATGTGAGAGGCTAAAAATATTGCTTTACTAACAAATGTCAGTTTTTTCTTCATGTATTGTCACAAATTAAAGGATCTGAGTGTTCAAATTGGGTACGAGTGGTGAACACATATCCCACACCCTTACCCATGTCATATCTAGTGGCCACGAGTACTATGGGGGAAATAAAAGAGTTCATGTAACACAGCTCCTCATATTTATCTGCAAAACGAGTACAAGGTGCACATGAGTTGCACGTCTCAACTTGTGATGTGCAAGTCTTTGGAAAGTTTGGCCCAAAAATAAAAAATAAAAAACTCAATGCATTTTACCTTAGCCTCGCCTCGAAATGAGCCTCAATACATCTTTTAAATACACAATATATCCGTATAAACATGACATATTGTAGGATTTGTGGCTCAAATCATACATTAACTTTCTAAGATTAATAACACATATTTTGAAAGATTATTAAAAAGTACTTCAATTTTTTAAAAAAAATTTTTTAAAGCTTCAATTTTTTTTAAAGAAAAAAAAAAAAAAAAGAGCCATAAAAATGAGAATTACATCTTAAAATTCCAAATCAGTGACAAGCCTCTCTAATCTTCTAAAAAAAAAACCATATTCAGATGTCAAAAGGTTTATGAATGCAATCGGATTCTTGGACATTTCCAAAAGTTTCAAGTAGAAATTCTCAGCTGCTTACAGCACGAGAGTATAGCGCATAAGGAAGTTGTGACCATGTTTTTTGATACCCTGCATTTGCAAGGCCAAAGGGCACATGTGGTTTTAGCATTTTATGTTTCAGAATTAATCCTGCTATTAGATTGAATGATTTATAATGTAAATAATTTCACATTATTTTATGGCAGTATAACACTGTCAGAATTTATAATAGCAATAATCACTGACCACCTTTTCCAACTTAGGACACCATTTGGATTAAGATACTGGCACTTAGGCAAAAATATTCCAATGCCAATAGTGATCCCAACTAAGTTCGACAGAGAATAAAATTTCAGAATAAATTGCGACCAAGTAGCATACACATCACATACATGACCCTCAAATTAATTAATCCATTCACTACGACAAATGTGAATTGAACTACAACTAAACTTGGGAAACATTGACATGCCTGACAAACAAAAGGTGACACTTGTTGGGCTTCCCCATCAAGCCAGGTAAATATCAACCGCTTTTCCTTCAGTGCAACAGCTGCTAGTGATGACGGCTGATCTTTATCAACTGTGGACAGTGCTTCTTGGATCCTGCGCAGAGTCTTTACCATAGTAATTTACTCCATTTAGTAAACTAGAAGAATATACTCGCATTTGGGCATGCATTTTATGTCATAACTTCGAATGAACATCAGGATCTTTGCCAGGATTCAACAAATAAAGTTCTTTCACATTCTATGTTTTCTTTCTAACCGCTTTCTCTACTAATTTTTTTTTCAAGTTACCTTTTCTATTCTTTTTTAGGTAGTTGTCTATATTAATTTATGTAAATTTGTCTTCGAAGTTTAGAAAAATGAGCTGATATCACTAGACAATGATTTCCCAACAAAGTAGCTAAATCATTTCTAGGAAATAACTACCAAGTAGGGATTTAATTTAACATAACAAGAAGGCCAAACAAACTCACTGCATGCATTTTGTTGAGTTCTGGGCTTGATCTTCCTGCTAGAATAACACAGTACCAAATTGCTGTTTCATTTCCAGCACGAGAATAGCCACGGGCATCACAACCCAGCTCCATGGACGTCACACTTCTCAATTGTGGAAGCTCCAAAAATAAGGAATGGAGATTCACAAAATCTTAGAATGTATAATCTGGGGTTGTGTTATACTTATACATGTATATGAAAATATATCCCAACAGGTATGCATTATAGGCATAGGAATATAGACATAGTTATATCTTCATATAACTTCAAAGCTATGTTACATACACACGGAAACGGGTATCAGGTGCCTGCATGTGCTGAACTATCAAGTTCATCAAACCTTTTATGTCCAAGGACACCAGAACACAACTAGATTCATAAACTCTCAACGGATGCTGCCCATGTTTTACGCTATAAGAACCAAAAAAATAAAAAAAACAACTCCTATACATCAATATATTCAAATTTCTCAACAAAATTCAAAAAAGGATTCAATGAAGGCTCTTGAGATCCAATTGTAAAAGATGGTTAGAATTTTACTTTTAAAACAAAAATGGAAGTCTTAAGACTCTTTTCTTTTCTTTTTTTTGATAACAAGCAAACTTTATTGAAAAAGCATCAAGACAATACAAAGAATATAAAACCAAAAGCAAGCAAAAAACATATACAAGAGTAAAACAAAACAACTACAAAATCAAGTCCTCTACGAAGTCAACAAAAGTTAGCACATCCGGGTGTACTGATAACGATATCTAGCCATGGAACACAGTGAACAAACGCCATTCGAACCATGGCACCAAACGCGTCTCCCCCAAAAAAACTCGCCTGTTACGCTCCAACCAAACTAGCCACATCAAACAATGGCCAGCAAGCTTCCATGCCTTCCGACATCTCTTCCCAACCCTTCCCCAGCCCAACTCTATAACACTGCCATCACTGACCATTGTCGAATCCAAGGAAAACCAAAAATAGCAACAATAAACATCCAAAGACGTGAAGTAACCGGACAACAAACAAGCAAGTAATCCACCATCTCCGCATATCCACAGCACATGCAACACAGTTCACTAAAATATGACCACGACGAATCAGATTATCAAAACTTCTTCTATCAAGCTCCCTCTAGATGTTCCAAAATAAAATGGGAGGTCCTAACCGCCATTCACCTCTTTTTTCTCTTTTCAACTCTGGCTACCCTCCAAGAAAGCAAAAGGTCCCAAACATTTGAAGGGAAGACCCCAACCACGTCAAACAAGACTAAAAGTAAGGCCCAAATGTCCCAAAAGATGTGATCCCTCTCCCTCCTCACATAATCACTAACAACAACCCATCTATCAATTGCTATTTGTCTAGAGCTAGACAGGCCAGCTCTAACTCCTCTCCACAGCAAAGATGTCACCAAAACTGAATCCTCAAACACAAACTTCACATGATGGTGAAAAACATACCCAACCTTCCTAACACCCTTTCAAAGGCCCACACCGATGCACAGAAACCTCCAAAGACATCCAATCACCCCGCCTACACCCATATTTTGCCAACATAAACCTTCTCCAAAATTTGTCCCACTCACACACAAAACTCCATAACCACTTTCCCAAAAGAGATTGATTGAAGATTTTAAGACGTCAAATCCCGAACCATCTACTCAAATAAGGGAGTGAACCGTATCAAATCAACCAAGTGGTTCAATATATCCCCCAACCCACCCCAAAGAAAGTCCCTTCACAACTTGATCTTCCCCTCCTAACGTTTTCATTTATGGTGATCATATCACTTTTACTTACTGTTTCATCTACAAATCTTTGTTGCACATAACAACCATCTTAATCAGCGTAGGGCTATCACCTTTTTAAAAATAGAAAATATATATATATATATCAAACTTAACCTAAAATTAATTCATCTAAAAAACCAGCAAGGAATTCTCTAAAACAATCGCCAAACTCCAATTAATTAAAGGAATCACTAAAACAATCACTCACTTTTTAATTCATGCACTCCAACCTCAAAAATTTTGTAACACCACTACTTTCAAATACAACACAATATGCACAACGTTAAGGTTCAAACATTCACAAGTGGGGATCAAAAACCCTGATATTTGCACTGAGGTTCATAAACATTTCTACGTTTTTTACTAGTCCTCCCTCCCTCCCTCCCTCGGAACATGTTTTAAGTCAACCCGAAAATGTCGATATTTCTGCTAACAAATCTATGACTTTCTCATTGTTTTAACAATTAGTATATTCATTTTCAAACTTTTTTACGGTATATCGTAGCATTATAATTATTATTTTTATTTAAGGAAGCTAACATATTCTGACTAAAGCCAATAATTTACATATATGTAAAGGGATTTAAGAAACACAAAACTGACTCCTTGGCAACCCTATGTCAGAATGCGGATTGGAAATTTTGATGAGACTATCCTGTGTTTTGCTCTTTCCTTTTTTATCGTGTATCCTCCGTGTTTTTATAGTTTAATAAATTAAAAAGGTTGTATTTATGCCTTGGTTCATGGGAACAAATAATGCTTTGTCTATTCTCTCATCCATGATAACCATAATCTCAACATAGAACAACTTACGAGCATTTAGTAGACCACAAAAGTAAACTAAATCAGCTAAAGGATATCTATAATGATATTTGTATAATAGCACAGCCCATTGGAACCAATAAACACAACCTAGTCAATTTCCCATTGACTCTCAAATGCAAACACAAAGATGATCCCTCACAAAAAGCAACTATGCAGGATGCATCACTGAGTCATTTATTCTACTATGTGGGAAAAATGGTGGACACTCTGCAGGCTTATACTCCCGTAAAATCTAAAGAAAAAGGGTTGCTTTATAAGGAGGGCCACATTTGACAAAAGATTCTACCACAAATTTACACAATACGGAAAAAAGGTTGCAACACAACGTCTTATCAAATGAAAACAAAATCATAACCTGACAAGTTCTGTACAATTTGATTCATGTGAAGGAAATTATCAAGGAAGATTTCTACATAGGAAAACATTTACCGAGGAAAAACTTCATAGTCATAAACATTTGCACTTGTCAATCACATGAGGTTTACTTGCACATTAGAATCATAACAAGCCATTTACACAATGGTTGCACTCACTCAAGTAATATGACCGGGCGAATTTTGTTGCAGTGTCAAAGCCCTAATTATAAAACTTGATAAAGTACAAACAAACAGCATTACCTTGATGTTTATTCTGTTCCATTATATCTACAAAACATGAATTGTTGGCAGGTCCTGCAGTAATGTGGACTGCTTAGCTTGTTATGTACATACACATTATTTATGTTACAAAGAGTAGCAAGAAAGACTATGAAACAAAATAAAAAGAGAGACATACCATGGTACACAACAGGTTTGATTCCATGTTTCTTCAAAAATACAATTGCAGGTGCAGATTCCACTCCAAACCTGTTGTTGATAATAAGAACTCTGTCAAGGTCATACATCATTTTGGGAAAAAAGGAACAAAAAAGTAGAAAAAGGAAAAGAAAAATTCAGAAAAGAAATGCAGATTAAACATGAAAAGCACCTGTCAAGGTCAATACCTTCTCTTTCACCTTTAGCCCTATTTATTAACGGCATTTTCGCAATGTCAATTGCCATTGCCCGTACTTGTGGAACATCCAAAACCATACTATCAAAAAAACCCATACCAAGGAGATCCAAATCCAAGTAAACCCTCAAAGCAAAAATGACTCCCATACAATACTCCTATGCTACAAAAATTTGAACAACTATCATGGATCTAATTTAGGTGAAAGAAACGAAGAGCTTTTTACACACACAGACCATTTGGATTTGGATTGGGGTTGGGGTTGAGACCCAAGATTTGAGCCGAAAGGCTTGTTTGGACTATGACCATATACCTCAGAACATACGAGTATGATTAAGCTACTCATCCAAACACGTCCTAATTTGTGTCTGATTGCAAGCTGGGAAAGTTTTCTTTATTTGAGATTTATGTAATTTTAATTTTTAATTTTTTAATTATCATATATTTAATCCTAAATTTAGAATTTTGTTCAAAATAAAAACAATCAAATATATTTTCTTTATAAATGATTTATTTTAAGAGTAAAATTGTCATACAACTTATTTTGTATTAGTTAACTTATATGTTGTTTAAAATGTAATGACATTTTTTTAGCCTATGTTTGGCAAGAAGGTTTGGGTGGGTTTGGGGCTAAAATAGCCACAAAAAACAAAATAGGCTATTTTAGCCACAAAAAACAAAACATCAAATTCAACCCCTAATTATTACAATCTTCTCTCACAAAAAAAGCCAAAAAAGCCAAAAAGCCAAAAAGCCCTTCCCAAACCAGGTTAAAATAGCCCAGGCTAAAATAGCCAAAAAGCCAAAAAGCCAAAAAGCCAACCCACTTCCCAAACGGAGGCTTAATGAATAATGTTGAAATTTTTTTGATTATAAAGTTCTGTTTGTCTGATTTTTAGAATCTACTTTCAGAAAAAAAAAATTAAGAAATTAAAAATTAAATTGGTAAATTTTTTTTTTAAAACACATCATTTTTATATAATTTTATCTTTTGAGAGGGTAGAAATGATTTTTTTTAATATTTTTTTTATATTTATTTTTGTTAAATTAGTTTGAATTTTTTTAAAAGTCAAACGTGTGTTGATAACTTTAATATTATTGTTAAACTAATTTATTAAATCAAAAAATTAAAAATTAAAAATATTTCATATATTAAACATATCGATTATACATTAACAACCTTATAACCATCCATTACATGATAATCATAAAAAAAATCTGTTAACAATAAATACAGTCATCTATTACATTATAACCATCAAAAAATATTAACAAAAATAACCACTCATTACATGATCATCATCTAAATACATATTAAAAATTAATTTGATAAAAAAATAAAAATAATAAAAATATAAAAGATTTATTATTTTTATATAATTTTATCTTTGGTAGGCATAAATAATTTTTAAAAATTTGAAAATAATTTTTTAACATTTATTTTTATCAAATAAAAATGTTTGAGAGCTCTATAAAGGAGCTCTAGAGGATGAGCCACACCCATTGATATGATGTTTTGGCTTCTTTTTTTTTTTTGTCACATCATTAAAACTCAATTAAAGTTTCAAAATTAGTAGGATGTATCATTACTCTTTATTAAATTGACGACTTTACCCTTAAAATGGAGTAACAATGTCTTCTACTGTCTTTATTTAGAGTGAGATTCAAAATTTAAGGCGAAATATATCACAATTAAAAATTTATGAACCAAAGTGACACAAATCCTAAGCTATAGGAACCATTAACATAATTCACCCTCATTTTTATATTCGCAATGAAATCTTGTTAATCTATTTGTTATATTAAATTTTGAATTTTCTTTCCAATTTCTTATGAGTTGGATATTTGGGTTTCTAATGGAGGCCCATTTATTTTTTTGTTCAATTTGTATGTTTTTAAAGATAATATTTCATGTTATTGGTTATTATCGTAATACTCGTACTAGGTATAGTTTTAAATAAATAATTAATAATTACTTTTACAATTAAAATTAAATACTAGTAAAAAAATAAAAATTAATTAAATTTTATAACTATTTTTATCACAATTTCGCTTTTGATTTCCCCTCCCCCTCCCCCTCCTAGCATTAATGTTGTAGTTTAAGTTTTAAATAACAATAACATGAATTATAATGTAATTAGTAAAAATTATGATAAATAATAAAATTGCACTTTTTATTTATTTTTTTTACTAATTAGGTTTTTTTAGTTTGCCATATTATAATAATAATAATTATTATTTTTGTGAAACTCAATCTAGCAAAATTTGTTTAAATCAAAAAAATGAATAACAAAATGAAAATGACAAACAATGAATTACCAGTGACTCTTGTCTTTTTGTTTTTCTTGAAATCAATATTTGCAAATCAAGTATAATTTTTAGATTTTTTTACACTCGCTGTAGACACCCCATTTGTGACCAACCTTAAGACTCAGACATCACCAACTGAGCGCTCGGTGATGTTGCATTTTGTGCTCGTTCTGAGGTTTCAGAGTCTCGGCTGCGAGCCTTACCTCCGGATTTCGGGGCTCTCTCGTGCTTTGCCTCGGTTTGCGAACCAGGTCCCGTTTTCTCCGTTTTCTCTTCCCGATGGGAGGGAGAGGTCTCGTAGACCATCTCTCAGTGGCCGTAGGCAACGTTTCATGGTCGTAGGCCATTTTTCCCATTTAGAGCCCTATTTCTCGGTTTTCGGAGCCGTCGGCCGTGTGCCTCGGTTCGGGACTGCCTAACCACCTCCGTTTGCTCCGGTTTTTGGTATACAACTTATTTCCTCCCTTTTGAGGGACACTGTGGCCCGAGAAACCAGCTTCGTGGTTGAACGCCACCTCCGGTCTTAACAGCCCATTTTCGGGGCCCCAGGCCGCGCGTTTCGGCCCCCGAACCTCCGTTTTGCATCCGTTTTGGTTCATGTTTTGTGGAGACCTTATTTTCATTGTTAGGAAGCTTGTAGGAGGGTGGGAGGCCAGCAATAGTTCTGAAATCCAGCTCTATTTCTTCATCGCTCTCCGTCGCCCGTTTTCCTCACTAAAAAGCTAATGTTGACCACCCCGGGGCTACTTTCTTCAACCCTAAACCACATATTTGTGTTGTACACACCTGGGAGGCCACCAATATGGCATGGCCGACCAGCAATTCATCCTGACCCTTTTGAACCCCTCTAAAAAGCTAGCTTTTCTCTCTCCTGGGTCACTGTTTCTGGTTTTTCTCTACAGGGTTGTGTTGTGCTCATCTGGGAGGCCACCTTTCTGGGTAGGCCGACCAGAAATTGTGATTGACCCTTTTGACCCCTGGTCGGCCGGCCAGGGGAGGTGGCCGGCCGGCCCCCTGAACCTTCTGAACCTGGCCGGCCAGGTTTGTCTCCTCAAGTGTGTTCCAGCTGTACCGAATGAATTTGTAACCGGGCTGAAGCCCCACCTCTTGTAATGCAGTTTTAATCTTGAATGAAATTTGTTATTTTTCCATTCTTTTTGTCCGGTTCATATCCTGCTTGTGTTTGTCTCTCAACTTCAATTGGCATGTCTTGAACTTTTTTGGCCGAGATAGCCATCTCAGTTTGTTAGCTTTTTAATCTGTTTACCACATGTTGGTTATTCCAGCTAACCTCTTCAGCCTAGATCCTTATCTCGGCTGAAGAGAGATAAATGTTGGTTATTCCTGCCAACCTCTTCA